GTTTTTCTCCCCTGTACAAAAGGCTAATTTCACAACGTTTTGTGTCATTAAATTGTATTTGCATCTACATTTCAGCACAACATGGAAATTCTGGTGACATGAACATGAAACTAATGCGAATGTCTCCTGTGTTTCTCTTCACTCTGATAAAGCTGGAGATTCCAACACGGGTGTCATCGTCGGTGCAGTGATAGGTGCAGTTGTGGTTGTTGGTGCTGTTGTGGCAGCGGTGCTGATCTACTTGTACAAGACCGGCACTCTTGGTAGGTGCAACATGCTGTATAATCCTTGTCTTTATCAACAGTGGAATATATTGTTTCAGATTGTTTTTGTATCATGTGACAGACATTACAAACAGAGCTGTAAAGTGCTGTGCTGTAGTGTGTGTTTCACACCAACATTTTAGCCACAGCCTTCTGTGATTGACTCACTTTAAGAAGAACAACTGAAAGCCAGCTTCCTCCTTTAATACATGCACAGGCTGCAACGTTTGCACGGTTAACTTCACTCAGACTGTAAAGACAAGATAAAAATGTGTATGTTTCACACCAACATTTTAGCCACTTGGATAGAATCATTAATATGAAATGTCATACTGAAACTGTAATACAATAGTCTATGTAGTGTAGTTGCACCCAGATTACAAAACAGATGGGCTGTGTCTGCATGATCCTTGGTTATCAGGTGCAAAGGTCTGTTATTATTTTATTGTGAACTTCACAATGTGCTCAAAGGTCACAATTAACAGCAGTCTTGTCAATCATTATCTGACAGATGGTGTCTTTTATTCACAGAATTGAAAGTTTGCCAAGATCCCACCGATACTGTATTGTGTTCTGCTTCCACCACAACAGCCTCTACCAAATGTAGAACATGAATTTTGATTTTAAGCTTAAATTTAGTAAATTTAATTAGTTCATGGTCTAATGGAAAGTGGAAAATCCGGCTGATGGTGTAATTTTGGCATTTATTTAAAGAAAACAAGCCTTTTCAAACCTCCAGCAGGTGATGTGGTTTATAGTGTTAAATGTGTAATAACAATACATAATAGAAACACAGAAATACAGTGGGACAAAATCCTTCACATAGCAAGCAAAGATCATATGAAGCAGAAAACGGAAAAGTTCTAAA